CAGCTTGCCTGTCAAATGTGCAACCCTCCATTTAGTTTCCCTTTTGCAGGGTCTGCAGTGCGGGGCACGCAGCTCTGCAGTGTTGCTCAGCCTCACTGTTCACTGCAGAGCTGAAGGCTGAGCAAGTGGCTTTTCTCTGAGAGGGAAATTAGTTCAGGAGGGAGACCAAACTCTGATCCACCGTGCACTGTAGGTGCTCATGCATGTTTCTCCAGCTGCTGTCTCACTGTTGGTAAATTCACAGGCATAAGCCTCCAGCAACAAAAATGCTAAAAAACTGAACGATGGCAGGTAAACAGGGAAGTTACTGCTGCAGTTGCTTGAAGCAAGCATTTTATGATAGCGCTGTGAAAGAGAGAGACCTTTTGGCCTTAATTCCTGTAGCAAAGACTGAACTTGGCTGGAATCACTTGGCGTAAAAGTGCATTTGGTTTTGAAGAGCAGAGCATAGATTTGGCAGGAGACTGAACTTGGCTGGAATCACTTGGCGTAAAAGTGCATTTGGTTTTGAAGAGCAGAGCATAGATTTGGCAGGTGGAACAGTTGTATGGTCTGTCACCTTTTAAATGGCTTCCTTTAATAGAGTCTTTCATGTGACTTGTCTAGTTCATGACTATTTATTACAGTAACTTCATACTATTTTCATACTATTACTATTTACTACAGTAATTTTACGGAAATCCCTACTGACTGCAGTAGTCATTAGTCTGAGTCTCTGCAGAGTTGGCAGCCTGCAAGACAAAATGCTGTTCTGAGAAGCCCAGAGGAAAGACTCATTTCCCACCTCATCTGTCAATAGCTGTTCCCCTTTCTCGTTAGCTTTGTTTCTGAAGAAAATGAGGTTTATGGATGATGCTAGCTGTACATGTGCCAGTCAGTCCTTCCCTTAACAATATTTTTAACCTTCTTTCTGACCAATTAAAAGAAAAGGTTAAGTACAAATGGTATAATTCTAGTACTCCAGAAGTCACCTAATCTTCAAGCAAATTCTACCACTTCTCTACCAACAGGAGGATGTGCAGGCAAGAAAGACCCTATTCATATTCAAATAACCACTCTCTTTTTTTTAGACTTCAAGGAAGCCATCTAAAGTTCCAGGTACAAGATCAAAACCAAAGGAAGTAACTAATTCCTGCATCTGAAATTGACTGTGTATGTCCCTAAAGTTGAGCCTTTGTCTGTAAATGATCTTAAGTGACAGGCAGGCCGAAAGTTAGAACTCTGTTATTTCTGTAGATTTTTGTTTTAAGCTCTGCCAGAGTTAAAAGTCTTAAGGAAGGTTGTTTTGCTTTTGCTGATGTACTGAAAAAATAAGATCATGCAGCCAGTGCTTTACTGACCAGCTTCACAATTTACAAGGCAGACAAGAACACAGATGATTCTGCATTACAGTATCAACTGCTGCACCTTTCCTTAGTTCCTTGAAAACATCACAAAATACATTCATGAGGAGCTAAGCATGAAACCAGTGGGTCAGATTCTCTTGCATGGGAGTGGAATTTGGTCCTGCAGCTCCTTCTACTGAACTCCATAGGATCACACAGATACTTTTATTTCTTCTTTTTTTTTCTTAGCTCACCCTGCATTTCCTCCAGAATACGTGGTCAACCCAGAATACCTGGAGTCCTGCAGCTCCTTCTACTGAACTCCATAGGATCACACAGATACTTTTATTTCTTCTTTTTTTTTCTTAGCTCACCCTGCATTTCCTCCAGAATACGTGGTCAACCCAGAATACCTGGAGAGAGAACCTCCGAGGGTGTACCCTGGGTGTTCTGGGGTACACCCTTACCACCCATTTCCCATGGGATCTGCCAGCAATCAGTCAAGCTGTCAGGGAGCACTGTCACCTCCAGGGATAGCACTGCAGAGAGGTTTCTGACCCATTCCTAGCAACCAAGGGCCAGGGAATGCAGCTCGTGTGTCAGTAAGTAGTGGTCTTTTAATTACCTCTGGAAATAATGCTCTCTTTACTTTTAGCTGCCTCTTTGCTGTTAAAGTACCATGAAAAGTTGCCATGCTTATCAGTTACTTCACAGCATTTTGATACATTCTGCTGAAGAAAACATTAGCAAATGGTAATGTTATCAGTCTGACCTGAACCCGGAAGAGTAAACCTATGCACTTGGAAGGGGCCAAATGTTGTGAAGTGTTTTGTGGCTTATACATCCTGCTAACACCTGCAACAGCGTTTTGGAATTATGGCGGTCGGACACTTAATATGGTCATGTTGTGCCAGCGTAGGTGGCACAAAATGTGCATTGGGAGGTTCCTCTTCCATGCAAGACAAAGGTGATGGGGAGAGAGTGTCTTGGCTTGGCCAAAGCACCACAGCCTCTGAGAAGAATGGGAAAATCAGCTTCAACAAGGAAGCGAATCAGCATGGTCGGGTATTCCTCTTTTGAGACAATTTGTTTCTCAAAAACATTGGAAAACTGTTGTGGTTAACAGAAGTTTCAGATTAAAAATGATGTTTAGCATCATAGAGCCCACACAGAGCTTCAAACCACACCGAGATGGTAAGAAACAAGATGCTGAATTGCCCGTCATTTGTAATGGGGTGTGTGGGCACTTCCAGTTTCTTTCAGTGCTGCCAGTCATGTTGGTTTAAACTGGTGGTGTCCAGTTTTTGTACCACAGTTGAGCACACGATCAGATTTCCTGCTGCCATGCGCCGTTCTGTCTGCATTGAGTACAATACATCAGCTCTTTTACGGTACAGTGATCTGTCTCAAGACTGCTACATTTACTGTGCTTGCCTAGAAATTCAATGTCACATTTTAGGGGTTATTGAGAAAGAGGGTGGCCAGCAGCAGCCTGAGGTCCAGATAAATGATCCTGGTGGGATGGATATGCCCAGATTGGGAAATGGCTTTTCTAGACCGTCACTGTACTCCTCAGTCTCAGCATGTTACACCATGCACAGGCTTTGCACGTGCTAATACGTGCACCGGTGTGGCAGCGTATGGCCCCAAAATGGACCAAAACTGTAATGTTCACAGGTAAATACTGAAACAGAAATTGTTTGATACTGCATAGGAATCCTGGAGAGTGTCTTCAGATGAAAGATGCTTTGCTTCATGTGTTTCTGCAGATTCCAGGTGGAGGTGGAGATTTCCATCAGTGATACCATGCTCCTCTGCCTCAGTTCATCCCACCAAGATTTTTGCCAGGGATTCGTTACGTTCCACCTCCCCTTCCACTGAACGAGTTGGCTGAAACAACCAAGGAAGCACGTGGTAAGGAAGTACGAGATAAGCCCTGGGACTTTCTGGTTTCAGTACCTAACCACAGAGGTGGAAACCCCAAGAAACCCTGATTCTAGCTAGTTTTTCAGGTTTCACACATCCCTGTGATGGAGCCAGGACTGAGATCCTGAAGTCCCAGGACAGATTGGCAGCTTTTACAATGGGCAGCACTGTCTTAGGGAAAGCAGCCTCCCGTGCTTGGGCTTTCCAGCTGACAAGCACCTCAATCTCATGCAGATGTTGGAGGCCCCAGGGCTGAGCGCCATTCTCAAAATGAAAATATTTTTCTGAATAGCTAGTTCGTGGGGCTTTATTTTAAAAATTTGTTTATTGCACTGTTGCAATTTACACAAGCACTTAACATGAACAATATGGCATTTCTTGCTCATCAGAAAATCCTGCTTTTAATTGGTGTCAAGAAAAGACCGAATCTTCAAAACCTCCATTTATTTTATTGAATCTTACAGGATTTTAAATTTCTGGCATAAGTGAAGTCTTTGTGCCCTTCTCTTTTGGGTCTCTTTCATGTATTGTGCCTGCAGGTGGACATACTTGTGATTCTGTTTGCAAGTTTTTCATTTGGCTGCAGCTACGTGTGACCACAAGAGGGTAGAGCTGCGCAGAGAATTAACCACTAGCGCTGGATGAGCAAACAGCCAGTTTTATTTTAAATTCGTGTTTAAAATGCAGGTTCAAAAAATACAACTTCATTTCCTGTCTTGAAGATGAGAATAAAAAATTGTTCATCTGACTGTTTATGAAACATATGACAATAATCACCCAGTGAAAAATCCAATCTTTTGTATAAGAGGGAGGAGAAATAGAGGTGTGTAATTGTCTAATTTGAATTGAGAAGATGTGGATGGGTGGTTATGTGGAACAAAAGAGAAGTTGGGGTTTTTTTGGCCTGGTTTCTCAACAACATAAGGCTCGTGCAGTCTCATTTTCTGTAATGTCAGTCCTCTTACAACTTTTCAACCCACTAGTTATTTCCAGCCAAACGTATCTGTTGTGATCACAGGCCTACACAATATTGATCTGCAAGGGAAACAGATGCCTCCCACAAAATGCTTTCTTTGCAGCCATGTTGTGGTGTTTGGCTGTCGGCATGCGCTCCATTCCTGACTGACGTGTGTAGCTTGGCTGACAACCAAGCGCCTGCCAGTGAGCCCAGCAGTGGGCATGCATCTTCAGAGCAGCCGGAGCATACCTGCTTCTTGTCTGGCTGGAAAGGCAAAGAAAATTAAGTAGGGGATGTGGTGGGGAATACAAAGACTATGGCAGTATGGGGGTTGCACAGATACGGTAGAAATGTAAAGTTATTTTAGGACACTGCCAAAGGCATTAGGACATTAATGGAGTGTGTAGGAGATGCTGTGTGCTGGAAGTGAAATAATATGGGCTGAGTTTGAGGGGAAGAGAGGAAACTGAGTGCTGGCAGGCAAACCAGAAAGCATATGTGAGGATGAATGGGTTTTGTGGTTTAGAGGAGACAAAAGACCTGGGGGATATTGCAGTGGCAGAGAACCTGTAGGGAGCTGCAGCTGTTCTGTTGGAGTGTATGGGAATGGCAAGGAACTGGGAGTAGTGGCCAAAAATGGGGCGCGTGGAGAGTGGTGGTATTGTGTGAGGAAAACAGAGGAAATCCAGTCCTATATTGGGAGAGTGAAGTTGTGTGTTGCCTGAAAACAGGCAACTGGATGGAGAAGAGAGGTCATGAGAGCACCCCCTCAGAGAGCAAAATGCCATCTAATGACCTCAGCCCTTATGACACACCAGGGAAATCACAACCCAGGCACAAAGCCAGAGAAACAGTGCATCATGGATCGTGCTGCTCAGAGAACAATCCAGTTTTCTTAGTACCATGGAGAAAGTACAAATTAATTCCACTGCATAGCATTTGTGCCCCAGGAAATGTAGGAATTTCCAATTGTGACCCAGTGAGGGGGAATACTCCTGCATGAGGTCATGTACAAAATATCCTGCCGGCAGAAGATGCAGAGGGAGGCTACAGTAAAACGAGTAATTCTTTGATTCTGGTATTCAGGTATTCAGGATGCTTGAAAAAAGAGAAAAGCTGTACTATTTAGTGCATAGGGATGTATTAGGATTGCATCATATCTTTTTAGCCAAGTAAGGAACTGATTCAGACCTGCAATTAGACTTGGGAACATCCTTCCTCCAGAAGGACCTCTAGAATTGAGGTGAAATGGCCTTTCTGGCAAAACTTTTGCAGGAAAATGGATCTAGAAGAGTGTCTGTGATCTCTGCCCTGAAAGGAATCTGAGATTAAGACAAATAGGGAAAAACCCAACCAAAACCAAACAAGTCCTGTTTGAAAATTATTTTCCAAGGCTAGAAGCTGCTGCCAGAAAGGTTTGGGTCAGTAGTCGACTGCAGTTGAACGACGGAGGCCAGGGAGGTTTGCAGCAGTGATGTGAAGTATAGGCCATGTTGTTACACAATTTCATGCAGTATTGACTAGTGATGTTATGGAGATTCAACAAAATAAACAGAAGGTATGTCCAGTAAAACAGCCAGTACAGCATCTGAGGACAGAGTCTGATTGCAGATTGTTGGCTTTCCAAAAGAGCAAGCCACAGGAGAAAAAAAACAACAAAAACCTAAGTTGCCAGTGAGGAACTGAGGGAGCTTTTAATGCAAATTGGCAAGGAAATCTACAATGAAAATCCTTAGTTGGATTTGAAGAAGGGATTACTCAGTCCGTCAAAGCCTTTCAGAATTCACAGGAGTGTTGAAAGGGCACGGCTTGGATTCACTGCTGTCAAGTGGGCAAAAGAGCCTGCCTCATGCTTCTTTTCCAGTGCAGCTTCAGCACTTGCCATCTTGAAGCACACTTGCCACATTTCTTTAAGAGTGGCTGAAACAACCAGCTGCTGTCTGAAGTGTGTCAGTCCAGAGAGCTGCAGCTCTTGATGCCAAGCACCTTTGAAGTAACTGGGTTGAAAACCAAAGTGGATTGACAGAAGTCATTTTGCATTGAGAATTGATCTCTGGAAATGTGATTGATGACAGGTGTAATGCAAACTGAATTACAGGGTTCGAGGGTTTTGGCTTATTTGTTTGTGTTTAACTCTGACCTTTGTCTATTCTTCATTTTTATTTCAGCTACTGAAGCTGACAGTCAGGATTCAGAGGTTGTTCGTGAGCCTGGCCAACCGAGTGATGTGGAGCCTGAAGATTAATTGAGAGAGGATGGGAAGACAGTCTGGGTTGCCGATTTCCTAAGAACATGATTCGCTGGATTCGGCAGGGTGAGGGAACAGGAGGTGCTGGTAGGCTTGGCAAGAATGGTGTGGGGGAAATTTGCAGAAAGGTCTGGTACAGGCTGAAATCCAGTGCCTCTGTATTGTTTTCAGGGTGAACTGCCTTTAAGGTAGTTAAAAATGAAAGGTACATTCCTCTACTGTTTTGCCTAGAGGAACTGGTTTTGTATTAAGTAGATCAGCTGTTCATGTTTGAATTTGCAGGGGACTTTTGTATGATTAAAAAATACATTAAACTGTTGGTATGGTTTTGATGATTTGAGGCTTGCTTATATACATGTAATTTTTCTAGCCAAATGTCAGGTGTTGACCTGAACAGCTCTGCATAACAAACTGGTCTAGAGAGAGATTTTTGGGTTCAGTCTTTTTCTTCTACTACTTTCGACTGCTGCTGTAAAGGTGAGCACAGTAAAATAAACATTCTTCTTTTCTGCTACTTGTACTAACAATCCCTTGCTCAATGCAAGATGTAAAGAAATTGCACTAAGCTGCAATTCTGTCTTTTTTAATGTAGCAGATGATCTGTTGGAATGCTTTCCAGCATTCAGCCAGGGTTTTGGAGGACAGTGAGTGCAAGTGGCAAACTTAAAGCTGCCAAGAGGAAAAACTGAAAACCACATGTATCTGTAGCAAATAATCTGATGTACAACTTGTTATACACTGGATTTACAGCAGGGTCTCTGCTCCCAGGAGTGTCCCAAACCTCCTTGTAAAACTGCTGTCTGCTTGGGAAAATCTGAATACTTCTTGAAGGTGTCTGAATAGAGCAAAGCTCTTTTCAAAATAAAATAATCTACAGATAGGAATACCAGCAGCACCCACAAACAGGTTCCTCAGTGGATGGAGTAGTTAATATAGCTATAAAAAAAATCATTCTTAAACAAAATATATACAAAGATTTAAGGAAATAGTAACGTGCAAGATGAACAGTTGAATAGTTTTCTTCACAGATCTTTTTCTAAAGTCGTATTTGGTGTTTTATTACACTCCTTAAATCTCAAAGCAAGATGGACCCCAGCCCATTTCACTGCCTGTAATGCACAGCCATTGCAGACACACTGCACGCACAGTTCTGTTTTCTCTGTTTTCCTGGGCCAGCGACCGCTTCCAGATTGCCAAGACAAACTATTTTCTTTTTTTTGCTGCATCTTTTTGAATCAACTGTGAGTGAACCAAAGCTTTTCCTTTGGCTGTTAGAATGGTGGAATGCCACGCCAGTGGGATGTTTCTCACTGTATTACTGCAGACCGCTGTTCTGTAGAAGGATATAGCAAGTTTAAAGAAAATACAGAGAAAGGCAACTAAACTGAACGAGCACATGGGCGAGGTGCCTTACAAGGGGAGTCTAAAAGTAGAATAGAGTCTTCAGTTTGGGGAAGAGAAAGTTGAGGGTGGATATGACTGAGTTTTAGAGAATGGTATCAGCTGTGGCAAAGTAGATGCAAAACCATTACCAAACCTTGCTATTTTCATTCATGAGGGTGTCTCCGTTTAAGGCTCAGGGAGCAGGATTCTCTCTCTATTGTCCCCTGCCCTCCCAGGGGAGGATAAAAAAAAAAAAAAAAAAAACACAAAAAAAACCCCCCCAAAAAAAACACGAAGCAAAAAAAAAACCCCACAAAACAAAACACCCCACAAGAAAACCCCTCAAGGAAAGGAAAAGGGAATTAATAAGGGACAAAGGATCTTTAACTCTACACAAAACCCCATCCCAGCAGTCCCCAGTGGC